CTAATGTCCGGTTTGGACAAAATGGGATTTAGGCTGGCCAAACAACAGGAAATCAGAGACTGTTGTGCCCACATCTTTACAGAGACCTGCTCCATCAACATCCTGGATCCAGCATCGACGAGTGGACTGTGTTCAGAGCCGACAGAGCCCAGGACGAGAGTTTACATCAACGGTGCTCAAACACAGTCAAAGTGGACGGACACTTTCCTTCTTTCTTTTTATGTGAATATGAAGCCATATTATCATCACTATCTTGTTGCTGCTATTTACAGTCAACCAGACGCACAGTCATAAAATACACAGCAGAATGATTTCCTGAGTGTATATGTATATAAATAACTGTATATATTGTCCTGTTTTATTTATTTTTACTCATCCGTTGATGTGTTCTATGTGTGTAGCATGAAGGGACCACAATCTCTGATCTAATTATAGAGTCTTGTTGTATAATGATAATTAAATTACCTTGATACTTGATCGGTACTCCATGAGAACGTCTAGTGTGTACTAAGGGGATGTGAAGAGGGCAGTGGTTTCAGATGAATTGATTCAGCCTACTTCAATGTGTCGGCTCATTAACGGCTCAAACAGCAGCCTTATATGTAATTCACATATGAACCAGCTCACCTGCCCACCCACCTACACACACCACCATCCATGTATCCATCCACTCCTTCTCAACCTGTCAACTGTCTCACTGAGGACAAAACACTAAGATGATATGACAGCTACTCTTTTTTTTCTCTCCCCCAAACAGGAACTGTGAGTGATACATCCAAAAATAGGAAATAGGAAGACACTTTCAGCTGCCAGCTGTGTGTTTACTTTGTCATTATTTGCTACCATTATGACTAATGCAGGAATGAGAAGAAAATGTAAGTTCAAGATTGGTAATTCTGTATGAATAAATTCAAGGGTGTGATTTTTGATGCAACGCTTCCATCGTCTGTTTAAATCAGCAGTTCTCAACCCCCCCTCCAAAGTCTCGTCTGTTCAGGGATTACTGTAACGCATGAAAGCTACCATCATTGCTTCGCCCACAGACAGAACCAAAACTAATTTGGTTTTGGCTATATTCACTGTCAGCAGTCACAATGTCTGCTTTAAGCCTTAAAGAACGATATCAAAATATATTCATATATAACAGAGGGAACTGGGTTTGTTAACGTATAACAACAGGTTGTAGCCTATAGTATATCAACACTGAGAGCTGCTCTTCTCTCTCATTACGCACTGTTTGCCACATTATGTTATTTTATTTTCTCCGCAACCATTTGAAGACCCCCGGATATTATCTCTCGTGGGTGCCGACCCTCAGGTTGAGAAGCGCTTGTTCAAATGAGAGTGAGGGAATCTGTTTGTTCTCTTCCCTCCTCAGCTCATGTGTCTCCTCTGTGATTCTCCATCATTCACAATCAGTCGACTATCACAGGAAAACTGATTCCATCTGTTGTTTGCCTGCTGAGTTCTGCATAGTTGACTCCTGCTTGTTAATTAATTACTTTTTCAGTGATGTGTTAGTCACACTGGATTGAGAACATGAGCTTACTGGTCCGTGTGTGTGAGTGCAGGGTAATTCAGTATGTCAACAGCGCCCTCTTCAGGCAGAAGGGTGGAGGTGATGTGAGGTGAACGAGCTCAGGAGGCCTCGGGTCAAAAGCGCCATCCTCCTGCTGAAGATTTTAAGAGCAGAGCCTGCGTGCTTCATGCCCAAATACATCTGCACAGCGTATACGCCCCCTCCTCCCCCCAGATCCTCCAGCAGCAGCATGTTGTTCTCCGTGAGGGACAGATGGCCCAGACAAAAGGTTGCAAATTGTTTGCGGCACTATTTATTTATCTGCAGTGTATGCATCTCAGACGGGAAGGGTTTAAATCCGAGGCTCTCCGCTTTTTGCCATATGGATGTTGTGTAACGCTCCCCGTGACAGATTCATTACCGCTTCGACAAGAATATCATCGGACATGTCGAAGCCGAGCTATGAGTCAGCCAATTGTGTGAATGCATGTGTGGGACTTCCTTATGTCATCTTTGGGAACAAAATTTGGGCTTTAAACCAGCTGAGTGAGCGCGAGCTTCACGGCTGTTCGGTTACAGTACAGCAGGACTCTCCAGACTCTGTATAGCTAACGAACGTCCACGTTAAATGAATGCTTTATATAGCATAGTGCTGTGTATTTTTACCTTAAGTCATTTTCATACACAGGGTTGAGCTAATTTGATTTGCAATTGCTGGTGTGGAAGTTATTAACACTGAAGGATCTAATGATCAATCTACTGATATGAGAGCTAATTTACTCAGTGTGCCTAATCAAGATCAGTCCTTTCCCAGGTCCTTTCTAGGACATTTTCCAGGAGTTTCAATTAGGAATACAGGACAGCACTTGCTCCCAAATGGTCATATGATTGAATTTTTGGAGCGATTTTTGTCATTTTATTTTGCTGATTTAATGTTCTGCCTCCGAAGAATGAGAGCTGCTCAGGAAAAACAGCTGTAGAGCCAGTGTATTTTCAAATCTAACTGCGGTGAATTAGGGGTTTATTCCAACTACTTAGACGATAACTACAGTTACAAGGTGAGTTGGAGAGGCTCCAAACAAGACTCCAGGGATGATGAGGACACCGCAGGGGCCGACCAGGAGAGGAGAGGCATGAAGTGTTAGAGGAGCGAGGGCGGTCGGGGCATCAGAGAGGCTGTAACAGCACGGAGAGCCAGAATATTATATTGCTGCAGCACCTATGCATGTGCAAATATCATCGGCAATCAGCGAATATTGGACTGACGGTGGCCGGTTGGGAAATATGAACATATCGCCCAACCCTAGTATTGACTTTTTTCATGATTCAGGGTTCATGATGACGTGTCGCAGGTCCATTACAGGCAGGTGGTCAGTGTTTATTGGAAACATACCATTAACATCGCTGTGCATGGACAACAAATGTGATCATTAATAGCTTATATGCATATAAGCAGTGTTTTTCCATTACGCGTCTGGTAAACCAACTTTATCCAGCCAACAGTTTCAAAGAAAACAGACACCCAGGTTTACTTAGGCGATCTAGGGAAGGATCTAGATTTTTGGTCATTTGAATCAAATTCCAGGTCCTACTCTCTACATTTCCAGGTTTTCCAGGACGCTTGGG